TACATGGTATCCATAAATACAATTCATGAGGAGGTATACATAGTATCCATACAGTTCATGTGAATGGAACTAGGCATCACAATAAACTGTCCGGTGACATTTACACCATGTACATATACCACAGCTGTCAGTGGAGGAGAAATAATGTTTTATGACTTTTTCTGAAGAAGTATAGTTCACCATTTTTTCTCCCATTTTCAGAAGAGTAAAACTTACTCCTTTTCTAATCTAATCTAATCTAATCTTTGAAAAGAGCCTTCAGCTTTCCTTCTTCTTAAATTCTTAAATGATGTTTTCTCTCCTCCAGGTGGTACACTGTGGATCAGTAGTTCCAGTTCTGAGTTTTGCCTTAAAGGCAGTGTTCAAAATTAATCTCTCATATCCCAACTTCATATAAAGTATGCTTTTACTGAGGCTGTTTTATGATAAGAAAGAACATTTAAATATACTTCCAAAGTATTCCAAAGTGTAACCAAACATCCATAAGAAGACCATTTTTAGAACACATATTCCACTTACCTGCAATTTAAATTTATTATTCTCTCTGCATCAACAATCCTCAAGTGTAAGTTCCTAAACAGGTGAAATCAGAACTAAATAAAGATCCTAAACCAATTAGAAATGCAGCAAGTAAAAATCTTTCACTGTCAATAGAAACACAATTTAAAATTTTTATTGAAGAGAATGAAGTAAAGAAATCAGAATTAATAACTTTGTAAAATGAGGTATAAGAAAAGACATGGAGAAAAAACTGACATGTCCTGTCCATGGGAAGCAAAGCTTCCATACCAAGAAAAGTAATTTAATAATAAAGAACTGTTAAAACTTAATAGGCTCTAAACAAGGAGATAAACATAAAAAGTGTTGATCAAAGCATTTACTAATTGCACTCATAAATTATTAACTCAATAATTAGTTTAACCATTTACTGTATTAAAAAAAATTGTAACCAATGCTAACTTAAGCATTATACCTAGCATTCACTACTTGATTTGATTTGATGATCTAATTTATAATATGTATTCACCTGAATTTAACTATGTTGTTTCCTTAGACATGTGGGATACGTAAAGATAGTAATGAAGCAAAAGATATACTGGATAATCTCTACTTCACAGAAATTTGAGTACAAATTGACGAATACTTTAAGGGCTACAGTTCTAATTCTGTTTCTAAAAGAGAAGCATAATAACATTAATTTGTTGACTATGCATTAAAAGGTCAAACTAAGAAAATGGAAAAACATATTCATGTAATGTAATAGAAACTGACTGTAGTGGAAACAGGCCATTTTATGACTTGTTCTCAGAGGATTGGGTTTTTTTACAGTTGTATCTTGGGGTTTTAATCTGTATCATTTCAGATAGATTAAAAAGTCTCACAAATTATTAGAAAGAAGTGTGCTGAATAGCAATAACATATAAAACTTTTTGATACCAGCATTGTCTTGATATTGTTTTGTTTAGGTGCCTTTCCAAGTCTAGTACATTTATTGAAGTGTGAGGGTCATTAGGTTGTCCCTACTGTTTGAGCTTCCTTTAGTTTGGAGTCAATAAGTGCATTTAGAAAAGGGTAAAACAAATGTCAAGAAAGCATCCTTTACTCTTTCATCACTATTGTCAAGCTCTAGATGGTTGTCAAAACACTCCCTAACCCCTCCACTTCCTAAAAAGGGCTCTCTTTCTCTGCTGATTCTGAATAGTTTATAGACACTTCTTGCAGCATTCCAGAAGCGCAAGTTATCACACCACTTTTCTATGATTGCTTAAACTGTAATTTTTGGGCTTGACAATGTTTTCCATTGGTGTAGATGCATTTTAGTTGGGTTATCAATCCTGCCACCTTTTCAGGAGAAGAAAAGCTATTTCCTGTGTGACTGTTCTCAAGTGCTTCCATGGTTTCTAACACTTCCACCCCTGCTGCACAAATTAGTATGGGGAAAATCCAATCTGCTTATGTCCACTTGCACACCACCCTGGAATATTTTTGATCATCAGGCCTGCTGCTGACAAATGGGGTGCACCTGTCTTACGGTGAGAAAAGGATCTTCCCTCAGGACTTAATAGGCCATATTAAAGGAGTTTTAAACTAGATTTGAGGAGGAAAGGGAATAAAAACTGGCTCACTAGAAATAAGCCTGGGAGCACCATGATGATCAAAACTCACAAAATTCTGCCAGGGACTAGTCTGATCAGGGTCAGATTCAGATACTGATCTGTTATTCTCTTGATCTGCTTCCCGTTTTTTCCATCATTCCTGCAACTGGAACAATAGAAGAGAATTTTACATGTACTCCGGATCCCGTAACCAGTTATTCTCAAGGTGCTGAATTCCCTTTTTGATTGCCCTTAGACTTCTTATTGCAATTTCATCACTGCCTGCTTGAAAAAGTATTAATAGTTAATAATCTGAGGGCTGTACCAGAGTAGAAAGTTTCCTCCTAATGTCTTTAACACAGGCTTTGAGGGGCAGCAGACTTTTTTTAAGAAGTGGGTCTGGTGTGCATATTGGGTTTTTCATTCCTCTCAGAAGAAAGTCTCCTGTGACAATGAAACATTTCTTTTTCTGTATAGAAGCAGTCTTGATGCAGGGAGTAGTCTGACTTAACCTCAGTGACACCTCTGACCTAGATGAGCAGTCCTTCTTGTTACTGTTCAGCTGCACTTGCAGAGCCTTGTACCTGTTATGCCAGGGCACCTGGGAGGATGGGGTAGTAATGGTGTGCAAGGCAGGAAATTGTCACCCTTTCCCCCCTATCTCTCAAGTCATGATCAGGAGATTAAAGACAGGATAGGGAATCTCTGTATCATGCACCCTGTCTCCCTGCAGATTTGTCCCTGGGAAGATAAGAGGTTTTTCCAGTAGTTTGTCTCTCACTCAGACTCTCTGATGCTTCTTAATCAACTCACCTCTCCCCACAGTTGTGTCAGCACACCTCTCACAGGTGTGCTCACTGCCAGTGTTCTTGCATCGCACACATCCTGCATCTGACACCTTGGCAGGCAAGTGCACAAGTTGAGTTACAAGTCAGGAAGATTATGGTAGCATAGTAAGAAAACTAGTGGTGATTCTAGGGTGAATAGAGAAAACTCTTTAATGTCTTTTTTTGTCTCCTTCTATCTCCTCCTTTTATTTTATTAAAAAAAAAAAAAAAAAAAAAAAAAAAAAAAAAAAAAAAAAGGTCTTTACTGAAAAGTTTCTAGTGATAAGGCTCTTGGCACAGTTAATGCCTGTAACATGAAGATACAAGTCAGGTTAGAGCCAGGCAAGGATGTCAAAGGATAAAGTTCCATGAGGTAGGTGACCTGATTTAAGGCATGCTGTTACCAAAAGGAGAGATTCCACATGCTTTGCCATGTGCAGACATAAACACCCATAAACCAGCGTTGTTAGTCATGTCTCTCAGTCTTTTGTGCTGGCTCTGGCATTTGTCTCACCCTGTGCTGAACCAGTCCAATTTGCTAAATAGGCAAAAAGCAAATCCATGAACAGTTATAAGAAGTGATTGTTTTTTCAACAGTGGTTCACAAGAATATTATTTTCAGGCATCACACCAAGATAAATCAATTGCAAATAAAAAAGCTGTACAGGTAAACTGAATATTTTTGTTATCATCTGGGATCATGTTCCCTCACTAGCCAAAATCACTCACTTTTCAGAGGTCTGCCTCCAGGTTTTGTGTAAAAAGTATCTATGAAAAGTACCTACAACTTGGCAGAAGGTGACAGTGATGGAAATTTAAGAACTCAGACTGTAGAGATAGAGAGCTGCTGTGCCACATGCTGTGTTATATGCCCGAAGATGACACAACAAAAAGGAGCAGCCAGAATTAAACGTGGGCAGATATAAGAAACTGTCTTTTTGAGAAGTGTT